GAAATTATAGAAATATGTCTGCTTCAGATTGTCCTCACAGCCCTGAAGTTACATCAAGAAGCTGTGCAGCTTACCAGAAGGATGGTCTGAGAGCCTACAGAGCATGCGTTACGTCTGGCCTGAGATGCGAAATCAATGAAGCTAAAGACTGGATGAAATAGGATAACTTAGAGGTAAGGAAAAAGTTAGCTAACTTCCAATAGAACAATTTGGGTTATGATTCTTATATGTTCAGAATTTGAGAATTAGGTCATCTAGAAGTTGAAGTTAGTTTCCCAACTGGCTAATTATTACTCAAATATAATGGGGGGGGGCAGGAGGAGACATGAAGGATTCACATTATTATGACCTCTACCAAGAGATTGCCGAGTCTTTCTAGATACTAATAGTTTAGACTTAGGGTTTGGGTGTCAATTCAGAGTAATTGCTCCAAGATAGATGCTTGAATTCAATTCTGTCCTTTTTTTTATAATTATTAATTTGAGGCACCTTTCTTAACTTCAGTTCCCTTGCCTGTAAGACAGAGAGAATGAGTATCTATGACTAAGCCTTATCAGAATACCTCCATGTAAGGACTTTGCAAAAGTGCCTTGAAGGTAGTACTGAATGAATGTCAGCTGTAAAAAAGGAAAACCACTCCACAAGTGTGTACCTATGGACTTGGAATACACATGGCACAGTATGCATTCTTGATGATGCCTTGCTGGACCTTTTAGTTTGTGTGAGAGCACAAAGCAAGCCCTTTCTCTTTATAAAGAGCTCATTCCTTCAATAGCTACTACAGGATCTTTGAAGACGGATGTGGACAGGTGCTGGGCTAATAGTCTTCATTTGTCTCTCCAGAGTCACCCCAAGACTCTTTGAACTGGTGCCTCAGGAGGTGGCCATGGCCTCTTCCCAGCTCCCAGTTTCCCTGCTGCTCTTGTTAGACACAACTTGAGAGACTGGAGAAATGCACAGCTCTCTGACCTTCAGCCTCCTAGCAGCCAGTATTCATATCTTTGCCCAAGATGTCACTTCTGTGTAAGAGTGCTTCTCTTTTCACACGAGCTGTGGATGTGCACCCTAACTGCCAAGAAGCTCCTTATGTGGCTGTGGTCCTTACCTAGTTCTGTAAACCCTCAACCTTTCCTCCTTCTGGCTTAGCAATGCTAATCCCTGCTAGGTCTCTTTTTGAAGCACCTGTGCCTCATTATCCCTTATTACCTGCCTTGACATGTCAATAAATATGACTCAATAATTTTTTTGTTGCTGTGAGTTTTTAATTAGATGTCTTTTAATTATTTAAAAGCTCTTCTAATATGTTTATACTGTGTATCAGGAATCTAAGGTGACATGTTTCTAAATTCCATATTTTATATTATATTATGGGTACATAGAAACATAAAATAAACTAACTAAAATTATCATAACATCCAGGCTCCTTAAAATCTGTTCCAATATAAGAATTCTTTCTGTGTATTGTAAGAATTTTTTTTAAAAAAGTCACAGTTACATAAATTATTAGTACTACTTATGGATAAGGTTGGATACCAACTGAAGGTCAGTTCTAAATCAGGACTTAAGAAATACTGGAAATTCTTTAAATGAAAATATAACAAACTCTTTTTCCTTCCACAGAAGTTTTTTTTCATGATTAATTCATCAATAATTTTTGGCCTCTCACCAATATCATATAATACATATATTGCTAGTGTTTTTATAGTATAAAAAATTATCACAGATGGCTTTTGGATACTCTGACAAAGATACGGTTTGAAAGATATCAAGGGATAAGAATTTGACATTAAGAAATGGGAAACTAGAATATTGAATATTTCCATTTATTTGGAAATCAAGAATCTAAAAAAATTTTATGAAAGTAAAGGGAGGCAATTACATTGATATAAGGAATCTGAGTGATGGTCAGGATGGTCAGAGTTCCCATCTGAATGTCACTCACCAACTAAACAGTTTTCTCTTTTTGTCGGATTCCTAGCTACTTGCACTATTGTGAAACCTTTAGCAACATCTCAGGAGAGGAGGCGTATAGAATCATTGTCAAGACAGCAAACTACATCAGCTAAGCTCCTACTCAGCACTCAGCATTCTGTCTACACATGATAGAAAGAAAAAGAAGCCTCTTACATAGTAGCTAGAAGGCCAGAAGAAACATCATTATATTAAGATGACATATTCATGAATGTCACATTATATTACCTAAACACAGGAAAAGGAGAGAGAGAGAGAGAGAGAGAGAGAGAGAGAGAGAGAGAGAGAGAG